GGCCGGTCTGGTTCCTGCTGCATCCTACAGTCTTGGTCTTGCAACTGAGATGTAGTGCCAGAGTGGCAAACGGGGGGAAGGGCGGGGGTAAACGGGCAAGTGGCATGAGAAGGGCAGCAGTGACAGATGGGAGGGGGAATCAGTGGTGAGCAGGAGCACAGGGCCCATGCCAGTGCCTCAGGGCCAGGAGCAGCAGGAGCCTGGAGCCCAGGCTTGGAGGAGCGCTGGCAGCTATGGGGGGTGGAGCTGTGGGCAAATCTTCTCCCTCCATGATGCCACAATCCTCCCCAGGCACCCTCTCCCCACTCACTCACAGCTCCCCACAAACCCACACCTCACAGATCCACACCCACGTGCTCCCTCACCCCACATCCACACCCCAACCCCCCCATACCTATCCACCCCCCACAAAACTATACCCACCCACCCACATGATATACAAGAGTAAGACTTAATTTTAAGCTATTATAATATTAGCTCTATGTACACTACACAAACGCATGTAAATCAGGACAATAATAATTTTTTATATGAAATTAATGAATGTTGTAGTACATGTTTGATTTTTAGAATATAATTTGGTATTTTTCTGGTTCCAAGATGGCAAACCCCCTTGCTGAAAGGCGTGCTTCTGGGGGGCAAGGGGAGGGACTTCTGGTGGCAAAGGTCAGGGTTAGGGGGTGAGACTTCCAGTCCCAAGATGACAATAAGGGGGTGGGGCATGTGTCAAGAGGTGGGGCTACCCTTGCAGCCCTCGATGGCTTGCCAAAACTCAGTAAGCAGCCCTTCACACAAAATAATTTTCCATCCCTGATCTATGGCCTCTTGGCCCTGGTAGACACAGCCATCGACAGCAAGAGGGTAAGTGAGGACTGTGCCACTGCTTGCCCTAACTGCTGCTGGTCATGCTGTTCTGCCATTTTCCCTGCTGATCCTGGTTTCCCTGCTATCATGCCCGTTGGTCCCACTGCCACTGCCCTACACCCCGTGCCAGATCCAACTGCAAATAAGTCCCCCAGTCTGGATCTGGCCTGACGTGAATTTGAAATCTCTAAGCTAGAAGATGTATGGCTCTTTGAAATAGATGGTACCTTGGGTTTCAACATGGGGCACAAACTTCTGCGCTGCACTGTTCTCCATTCATTTTATACACTAATAAAATCCAGGAGGGAGGGGTTCTTATTGGATAATACCTAACCTATTGTGTGCTGGTCAAAGCACTATGCTAAGAAGTCTGTGCATGTTCAAAACCCTTGAGACAAGTGGGGCCTAGAACTCAGGTCTCTGGCTTCCTGTGTAACCACTCACTTATTGGATCTAAAACATCAGAGGGTCCTCCTTTGGAGTTTAACTTCCATTAGCCAGGGTTTATGTGACTACATTTTCATGACACACACACAAGTACAGATGTCTTCCTCTTCCACCCATACTGTTTTCTGGGACATAGGCTCATATTCACATGTACAGTTATAGTTGCATAGGTGCTCAGCCAGTATGTCACCTACTGTGCATGTTCAGTCTACGTGTACACACTTACACACTCACACTGCAGGGAAAATATAATCACAACTTGTGTTTGTGACAAAAATACCATCTATGTTCCATTTAGAGAAATAGAAATCAACACAAAGGAAAATAGAAATCCATCCTAAGTGAACAAGACTAGTACTAGCTTCCTCCAAGCATATTCTTCATAATAAATCCAATGGACATGTTAATATCTACTGAACAAGCAGCATAACATAGGTCCTATAACATACCTCTCCCACAGAAACAAGTGCATGTGAAACATGATCATCATTTGACTATTACACATACAGCCAAATGTCACAACTATCGCAAATTTTAAACAACATTTTTATCCCCTTGGGTTCTCTCACAACAGGTGAGATTACAATTACAAATTATATCTGCACTCAGTTTGCTCAGCTTCGAAATTTGCTAGCATTTTTTTAAATATCAAATTACACACACTCACATACATACATATACATGTATATATGTGTGTGTACATGATTGTGTATATATACACACACATACCTTTTATACATATACTTTTACAGTGTATGTATATATACACATATACATTTATACACAGTGTCTATACACACACACACACATACACACATACACACAATGTTTGTGTGTATAAAAGTATATGTCTAAACTGTGTGTGTGTGTATATCTATATATCATATATAATAGAATATATATATATTATGGTCCTGTCGCTTTGTATATATATTCAAAGTGACAGGAGCATCATATTGTATATAATTTCAACATACAACATGATACAAAAGAACACGGGCACAGGCTCTTCCCCCCTTTTCCAAATAAAACAGAAAAGTGAAGTAAGCATAAAACACTGCATTGGGAGAACTTCAGTTCTCCCCCAATAAATGTTTGAAGTTGAGCATCAAAAATAAGTTATCCACGCTGCTTATCTTAGAGATGCCGCTTAGGTCTGATGGTAAAATCTGGAATAAGGAATGGACACTTAATAAATACATTTAAGAAATTCTCTCTTCTATTCTAAGAAAATGAAAATTGGCCTCCTCTCCCTACTTAAGGATTCTCCTGGTATTCTCCCATAGGACATATGGAGAATGAGGAGGAGGAGGAGAGGCAAAAGCATGTTGTGGGTATGTTCAGGTGGTTGATATTCTTTTGGGGATGCAAGCCAGCTGGTTTAGGTTAGAGCAGCCCTTAGCTGCCATAACCAGTGCCAGGGCTTGGCAGAGAATTAGGGGCCTGTAAGACTCTTCCTGGTAGGCCCTTCTTTCTGTTTCTTTTAGCGTAACTCTGGCACACTTCCATCTCAGGATATATATATGTCTACAGAAAGATTATAGAATTAAGATTTTAAAAATACTACTTAGGTCTAGAATATCACTCCATCAAGTAGGACATACTGCTGCTGAGGATGATTTTGTTCCCCAGACCAGTGGAGAGTGAGAATGCTATGGAGACAGCACATTTAGCTTGATGAAAGGGTGACATTCATTTTGCTCAAAAGTTTAACTGAGCTCCAACTAAAGCTTGATGAACTCAAGGGACCTGGTATAACAAATATGTCAAATAGAACTGAGTAGTTTACATCAAGTATAAAAAGTACAGGTTCAAAAACATCCTTAAATCAATCCCCAAATTTTATTATTAAGCAAAGTTCACTATAATTCACTATATAGAGTGGGGACAGGTGTGTATTGAGATAATGCAGGCATACAGAAACATAGCTTTGTAGAGAAGAAACTCAAAAGAAAAGGAATATTGGAATAAAAATATGTATTCAGCCAACACTGTTTTATACATAGGTCCACATTTTCAAATCAAAGTGCCTTAAGTTAGACTCTTAAACCAATTTTAAAGCAACTAAGTAAAAGTGATTTCTTTTTCAATGCTATCAAGGACTCAGAATTCTCAGTGAAGTTAGAGGTATTCAGCATCTCTATCAAACCATTTTTAGTCAAATAGTTAAAGAAGGATTCAAGAGCCTAACAATTATGCTCCATGGCTTGAAAAATGTGGCCATAATTCTTTTGAAATAAGACACTGGTCATCCCAATGATACAAAGGTCCCTCCACTCCAAATATGTAAATGTGTTTTTAACACTGAAAGCAACAATCTTCTTTGCAACAAATTCCTTGCATTCACTTCCATAAAATTTTACTTAAGTAAAAATATAGTATTTAGAACACAATGAATATTTAAGAAAATAAAAGTCAATTTTAAAGAGAGTAAATTCTACTATTCTTCAGATTCATAGTGATTCGCTAGTAGGTCATTAATTTATGCACTACAGAACCCAGCTTTAGTCTCAGAGTACATTACTTCTACTTCTCAAAACAAAGAAGTTTTGTTTCTTGCACAGACCAAATGAATGAGCAACTCATCTTTATTATAATGGAAGCTCAAAATACCATTAGATGTCAAATACTAAAATTTTGTAGTATTATGTTTTCTATTCATCAGTAAGTCATTCATACAGTTTTGTTAGTCATCAGGACTAATGTTTCTGTGTTAAGCATATTAATGTAATTTGAGAATTCATAGATGTCAGACTTTTATATTTATTAAACAGTTGCTGTATGAAGTCACATAAGAGTCACTGTTCTCTTCTTTCAACTCTTTGGATTTATCGGGTCACTTATTTTAAATCTCTACTATCAACTTTTAGCAAAAAATGTTACTTATAAAAATGTGAAATTGTACAAAGCGACTCCACAACAGAGCTATCTGTTCTCAGAGGGTAGCCATCTGGGCTTGTTTATTTGCGTTTTCAACTTTCTGGAACATGGAGTTACTCTATTTAGAGACGGGACACCCTGAGGAAGTTCCCCATAGATCACTTTCTGCCTCTAACTGTGCAGACAAGTTTTAAATTTATTTTAGTTACAATTTTAAAAGACCATTTAGCAGGTACAAAGATGTTTGGAAAAAAGGTATTTAAAATGAGACTCAGTATCTGGTCTCAAATACTCTTCCTAATGTTTCTGCCAATAGCCTAAAAATCTACTTCCTTGTAGCATGTAAATAGCAAACTAACAAGAACTATAACACTCTTCTTAAGGGAGTTAAATACGTTAAAAAAATTAGTAATTTGGGGCCAAATTCTGTGATGCCTATTCATTCCGAGTAGTACTTTGTTCTGTGAGCAATTTCACTGAACTCAGGCAAGTGTTACTCAAAGTAAGTAAGGATGAAAGAATCTGACTCACAGGAAGCTAGGAAAATCTTACAAACAGTCTTTTTGTTCAGTTTTCTTAATCTAGGCAATTGTGTAATTGTTCCTTTTTTGTTATAAACACAACTATTTCAATTATAGTTTATTCCAATTGAGTACCTTACTCTTAATATTTTGCAATAAAACTCTGTACTAGTTACATTTGATAAAGTATCAGAACTTCATTTTATCTTATTTTATTAAAAATAAAAAAATAAAATATAGTTCCCCATTTTGGAAAAAAACCTTAAGATAAAAATAGAAGAAAAATACCTTCTAAAGTAAAATCCAGTAATACATATTCATAAGCAGAGTCTGTCTTTGTTTCAACTTGTGGTCTCTTCAATGTAGAAAATATTTTTCCAGGGCTGCTATCATCTGGGTCTTCTAGCTTTCTCAGTCCGCACCCCATGGCAAAATCTGCAAAGAATTATGTTGCAGGAAAGGGAGAGGAAGCAGCAAGATCTGTTGCACTCGCTGGAAAAAAAAAGTAACTAACTAACTGCCTTGGATTTTGTTTAGTACTAGTCATAAATATAAAAATACAAAAATTTCATCTTCAGAATTAGAAAGTGAAGGCATTTGCTATTCATTTTTACATATAAGAATTGTATACATAAGGACTTCAAACTACGAGCTTAGCAAGAGTGGGCTTGATCTTACAGAAACATACAAGCTGCTACAACTTAGCAGAGATTTTCCATGCCACGTCAATTTGCAGCCAGCCCCCTATCAGCGTTCTCTTGCAAAGGACACCAATAGTGCTTTGTCTGTTCCTCTTGGCTGGCTGATAAGGAGGCAAAAAAGAACTGAAATAGAAAAGTTGAAGGGAAACTTACATGTAATTACTTACCGTCAGAAGATCTATTCAGATGCAGTAGCAAATGAGAGAAAAAAGCAAGTAAGATGGAATGAGTGACTGAGAAAAGAGAGTTCAACATGGTTGGAGACTAAAATCATTTCCAGAAAGGAAGTCAGCTTCAAGAGGAAATAACTTCTGGCATCTCAAAGGGGAGGAAAGTAAATGAAAGGCAGTTTAAACTCTATTTTAGATTGGAAAATTTAGTTCCTATTTCCTTTCCCTAGGAATTTTCTTTCAAAAAGAAAATCATATGTGGTTAATATTTTTTTTCTTGCCAAAAAGAGCATATGATTATAGTAAAAAGTAGCAAAGAAAATCAAGCTTAATACAAGAAAATTCAGCTGTTGTTAAGCATTATGTTTAAAAAAATCATACTAAAATGAACCTTATATTAAAGAGAAAGACTGTTTCAAGTTATACAGCATGAAGAAAGTTCTGTTGACTTTTTATTCCTATTCTCCAAGTACATTAAATACTTTGTTTCTTATATCAGCACTTAAGACAGCAAAAGACTTTTTATGCTGCAAATTCCTTAACTTGTACGAAAATCCGTTCCAGTGTTATGCACTTATCTTACGGGTTCATTTTTTTCAACTGTAATTTCAGACTGGGCTCTGGCAACTTTGCTGCATTCTTTCCTCTTTGGACATCAATGCCTGTTAGCAGTAAGTCAAGTGAGTTGTAGCTCACTCTTACCTACAATTTACCTGACTTGGAGGATGGTGATTTTGAAGCTGAATGAACAGTGTGACTTTTGTAGCCCAGGCTGTTGCACTTAGAAAACAGTATTTTTTATTTGTAAACCAAACACATCTGATATGGAGTTATTCAGAGAAAACAAACCTGGAGTTCCATAGTGCTGTTTTTTTATAGAGCAGCCTATACAGTGTACCTTTTTTAAATGCATAGCTTTGAGGCTGAACAAAACTATGCACAGTTCTAAGAGTGCTGTAGTATATTTTGCAGCAACAAACTCAAACCTGATTGAGAATCAAGTCTCAGGAAATGTGTGGATGACAGAAAAAGAGCTTGGAAAATGGACAACTAGGGCTACATTTGGAGAAGTGCCCTCTAGTTCTGAATGGTTAGCTGTATTCACTAGGGCTATGTCTACACAGATAGTTAAGAGTCCTTTTTTAACTGTCAACCACACACGTCATCTATACAGCAAACTCCTCTCAATTGGACCTCCAGTGGCAAACTATTCCACCCATGGAAACTCTGCTGAAGGTGTGAAGTTGGACCTGCCACTTTCATGCTAGCCTATCTGGAGTATTTACTAGAACTCAATGTAAACAATGTTCATTAACTATGGCTGCTTGCAGATGTTAAAAAAAATATGACGCTTTAAACTCCACATTCCTCTGCCGAGGAGACTGCATGCTCAGAAGAGGCAGTGCGTTAGTTGAACCCAGCTTGCCCAACATTTATATAGATCAGGTGCTTTAGTGGGACTTTTTTCCTGTTTTTATCAAATAGCTGATTGACTTAGCTTTAGATAAAAGCCCCAAAAAGCCCCACTGAAGCACCTCACCTATAAAGATACTGCAGAGGTGGGTCAAAGTTTCATAGCTTCTAGGGTCGGAAGGGACCTGAGTAGATCATCTAGTCCGACTCCATGGCAGGAAGCATTATTGGGGTCACCCAGCAAGGTGTTCGTCTAACCTCCTCTTAAAGACCCCCAGGGCAGGGGCCAGCACCACTTCTCTTGGAAGTTGGTTCCAGATCCTAG